ATTTTTCTAAAATAGCGTTTAAAACCCAAATAATATTATACCTAAAATTTCATATCATCACAGCAAGAATCTTATACTTGTATATGTAAAGCTGTTTACGCCTTCAAAGCAATATTGCATTCTTTAGTAATCTGGTTATATAGAACTATATATAACAGAAATCATACATACTTTACATTCTTGATCTCCTCTTAATGTACAAAATAAATTAAATAATTATATATTCGTATTTAAATTAATTAAGAAAGCCTAAACAATATGGTATACAAAAATTATTTGTTTTTTATATTTAAAATATATATGCTGCTATTTTTTAATAAAAATGCAATATTATATAAATTTTATCTCTTGCTTGTTAAATATAATTTAAAACTGCTTACAAATAAGAAGTGCCTGTTTAAATTGAAAACCAATATCCTTATTCAGAGAATGGATTTTAAGGAACCCGCATAAGTGCTGTTTGCATTTCAAGTAGACATGAAAAAGGAAAGGAAACACACACACATATTCAAATGTATCTTATGAAATTGATAAAATTTAAGTATAAAATAAAACCCAACTCAAAAAAATCCAAAAACATGTGAAGGATAAAATTGAAAGGGCAAAAATAAATACACGAACGTTTCTTTTGTGGGTAGTAATGCACTTTAAAATAAATGTCAAAAAATGCATATGTAATGAAAGAATTTCAAAAATGTCTCAATTAAGATAAGATTTTTACATATCCGTGTAGTTATTGTACATATCTTCACGAGGATACAGAAGGATTATTATGTATTTATATCAAATCAGATAAAGTAAAAATATTTGTTTATATCGTATAAATAAATTATGTTATTAGGAACTAATAATATGCGGTTTCTAAAGTAAATGTATGTAAAATACGCTAGTGATTAAGATTTTAATTTTTATTCCAAAGCATTTTATGGATCTCGCCATTCGGTGTGAAACATAAATGTCCTCCATGAGAGATTTTACAGCGGTTGATCCTTTTATGATAATTTTCGGTGACATTTCGGCATATAGTTGGCAATAGTTCAGCCATAACAAGGCGAATGATGGTTATACTGTTTTAAATCTTTAAAATTTGAGAATTGTCCGCGTTAACACGATCCTTTGCATCATTCTTCAATTGAGACAAATCCTTGATCATTATTGTGGGCAATTTACATAACCGAAACATTAACGTAGGACGTGTTGTATAGCTTGTAGCACCATCCTTCTCAAAACCCATTGTTCCATATCTACTGCTTCAATTTCACGCCGAAACAAAGTTGGTAATCATATAGCTGTATCGATCAACATTGTCGGCTTGTGTCACAACTTTATCATTTTCACAAAAGTATGGACCCAAGATCACATCTCCAGCCCAAGTCTGACACTATACAGAGATATTTGCATAAATGCAATGATCTATTGCTAGTTACTTGTTGATTTTCTTTGCTTCTGAGAGTCATTAATCGTTACCATTTTTATAGTAAGTTTTCACAATTTTTGCATGATTAGTGTTTGTTGAACAGTCCATATTGTAAAATAGTGAATCTGCAACTTATGCTATAACAACTCTGTTTAACATATGTTCCTGAAACTGTAGTACCAAATCAAGATCAAGAAATGGATAACCTTTTAGTACATATTTCAATACAATTGTTTTTAAGTATTACGATTAATATTCTAAACTGTACAATATTAATGTAAATAAATAGAATTTGAATGGAATAGTATCAGGTTTAGCATCAGGTATCAGGCGTCGTTTCTTTCCCAATAGCTGCCTTATTTCCGAGTTTAAATGGGTCAATAATCATGCGGGGTATTTCGTATTCTTTTATTTAATTAATTAAATATAAAATACTTAATTAAACTCTACGTTAGTTATGTAGCATTCAGTTTAGTGATATATTGAAGGATCTTTTTTTGTTAAATAATAAGTATATGTCCACGATTTATATAAATTTCTGTAAAAACATAAATAACTTATTTTATGTTAAACCTTAATAGATTCTCTGTCGTTTAATAAAAAAACAATATTTCTTAGTATATGTCCTGTGAATTTCTGTTACCAATGTTTCCAATATTTAAAAAATTAAGAATGAGTAGTGCATAAAATTTCAATGCTGATAAAGTATTTATTGATAAATTGTTATTATTGTATGGAATTAATCGTTCTAGAACTTTTTGAGCTGAAAAAAGTTTCTCATAAATATTATTTACCCAAGCAACGTAAATTTCCGGACTTGGCTTGTGCTGTAAATCATTTTAAGGTAAAAAATTAATGTTTTTGTTTTGTTGTTATTAGAAAGAAACTTTCATGCCCCGAAGGCAAATTGTTCGAAAATTTGGCACAAAATCAAAGGTGATTAAAATTTAATTAAAGTGACAAATTGCTTGTTAAGTTGCCTCAAATCGACAACATCAACAAAAACAAGCCGAAATTATTATTCAAGTGCCAAGAACGAAAACAGTTAAGAACACGAGTAATGAAGTTCGAGGAAAGGTTGAAAAATTGGTAGAGAAAATAACCGAAATATGATTAATAAATTTTGTGTAAGCAAAAAGACTTTAAAACAATAAAACTGCCAAAACAAACCGTTAAAATAATTATATACTTCTGTGTAAATTGAAAATTAACGCTCAAACAGCAAATATCGTAATTACGTGCTAATTTAGTACGCGCCGCATACGACTTAAGTATAGCAGATACGAGTACGAGGTTTGGTTGAGATACAACATTACATATAGATACATAAAGCAAATTACCTTTAAATATATTTGTATTTCAATTTTAAAACCATTAATAACTTACACTTAATATGTTTAATAAAACTTTCTGTATTTTTTTGTAAAATGCATCATTCCTAAAGTTACAGTCATTTAATGTGTTTACACTTTAGCAAAATTGTTGAAGTCGTTACGAATGAAGAGTTACTTTTATGTTTCACTATAAAACTACGACTAATGAAATTAAGTAAGCCTCTTATATTCGTCTTAAGTACAGATATCTTTTCAATTTAATGAATTATATAAATAGCAATACCACAAAGTGGGTACCTAATATCATCGTTATACGTACCCTTACCTGATATGAAAAGTTTAATCTTATGTTGATTTATTTTTTAATGCAAGGATATTAAAAAAATAAATGAATTTTTTATATTTGGATATTGTTTGTTCACTGCCTTTTAAATTCGTTTACTATAAAAAGCTTGTGGACTGAAGCTACATTTTTTCTTCATTCTTTGTTATTTTAGGAGTTTCTTTTCGAATTTCTACTTCATCAATAGAAGTAAGTACATATATTTTTTCCTAAACTAACATTGATATTTCAAACAGAACGATAGTTAATAAAATGATCAGAAGAGG